GGGGGGGCAGCTCAGAGAGGGCCTGGGGGCACAGCACACAGGCAGCGGCTGGCCCAGGGCTGCTCGCCAGGCGGGCATCTCTGAAGGGCCCACCTGCCAGAGACCAATTCCAGCATGACAGCAGGGCTGCATCTGGGGATGGCTGAAGGCATTCCCCAAACCTGAATAGGACGCATTAAATTGATTCTTGGCTGCCAGACAGCTAAAGGGCATCTTAATCTACATGTTATTGCCTCCTACTGGCCAAACACCTGAACAGCCGTAGGCTAATTCCCCCATTCTGACAATGGACTCTGTACCAAACCCTGACCCTTTGAAGTGTATATCTCTGCCTCGCCTCAGGACAAGTTGTGTTAATAAAAAGCATGGGGTCCTGGGGATGGAGAGAACCTAAGACCTTGGACTTAAGACCTTAGATCTTAGCTCCTTTAGCTAAGCTCCTCTGACCCCCAATGCCTTTCAAAATTATATTTCGTCTCCAGACTCTTTATTAGTCTCTGGATTCCTATTTAATCTACTCACAGCCCCTTCTCCAGATTCCTGAACCCTTCTTGATGGTGGGACAAGAACCCCGGCACCCACCCAACTTCAGAGCTCTGGTTTGGGGCCAGTGAACGCATGGACAGAATCCAAAGACAAGCTGCATTTTCTTCTTCCCTTTTGCGGGGATCCCTTCTATTCTTGGGCCTGGGCTTTCTTTTCTCCAAGGAAATGTGAAACACTACTTGCATTTCAGGGTCAAGATCTTAGTTTGGAGGGTCTGGCCCACCCAGGAATTAGACTAGAGTGACTCCATGGGGAGAAGATAGAGGCGGGAAGGAGAAGGCCATGGCCAGTCCTGGAGGTGGACATCCTGACTGCTGACAAGATTGCTGGGAAATGGGGTGTCCTCCCCCCTACCCTCATGTGATAACTCTTAGAATTTGACAGAATAGACAAGTACTAAGGTGCAGGACCAGAAGCATCTGGGGTGGGGTTCACGCTCCCTTGAGCAAATTTTCAAGATGGCATAGCCTTGCACTAATTTTTAAGGAGATATGTTGACATGGCATTTGTTAAAAATGTATTTAAAAAAACGAACTTCAGTGCAGTGGGTCTTAAGCTCCTTAGCATCAGCTAGATTGTTCGCTAAAACACAGAATTGCTGGTCCCTCCTTGAGTTCTGATTAAATAAATCCTGGGTGAGACTGAAGTTTGCATTTCTAACGACTGTCCAGGTGGTGCCGAACCTGCTGGTGCCCACACTCCTGTCTTAGAGGAAACAGGGTGAGAGGGAGACCGTGAGGCGGAAGGAACCGGGCCCACGTGTGTCTGTCCTTGCGTGTCTGCCGGCTCAGCAGCGAGCAGGGCCTCCCCCACTCCCTCCGCTCCTGCCCTGGAGATGGGCAGTGGGCGCTGCCTCTCCCTGATGGCATTTGCCGCTCTCCGGGCCCGTGGGCCCAGGTCCCGATTGGAGCTGCTGACTCTCACATGGACCACGCGGACCTGGGGGGAGCAGGCTGACGTGTTCGGTGATGCAGTTGTGTAATATACAAGGGTGACCAGCAGAGCGCGAGAGTGGGGCCGGGGCTCAGCAGGTGCCCTCTCACCCAGCTGGGCACCTGGAGAGGGCAGCACTGGCCCAAGGAAGTTCTTTGCACAAAGGGTTCTCTGACCCTCAGACCGCATTGTCTTGAGGGGGAGAGAGAGGGTGATGGGGTCCACCCGATAGGGGTCCTTTTTCTAATTTGCATAGAAACCCTGTGTCAGCTTGCAGAACCCTAGGTCAGGAGAGCAAAGTGGGGATGCAGCAGAGAGGCTCCTTTAGGGTCTCCCCCAAAGACCTTGGGGCACATGTGTGAGTCTCTGAGGACACAACTTCCTCGGAGTGAAGGATGCTGGATCGGCTGAGTCCGCTGCAATCTGCTTTGGAATATAGAGGAATGCTGTGTCCCCCTCCCCGCGCACAACAGCTCAGGTGCCAGTCTCTGCACCCAGGGGGCCGAGCGCAGGCTGCTGCGAGCAGCCTCAGCAGGACCGCGGGCCTGGGAGGGTCATGCATCTGGCCCAGCCCCAGCCTGCTGAATCAGAAAACCTGGGTCGTGGCCCAGCTGCTGGGTTTAACAAGCCCGCCCGGTGATTCTGAATCAGGGTAGAGTGTGAGAGGCACTGGCCTGGAGCTTCTCACCCCCAACAGGCCTCGGCATGTCCTGGGGATCTCATTCAATCTGATCTGATGATGAGGTATTGGGAGCAATCTGCTCCTCTGACCGATGCAAATCAGGGCTGTGCGGGAGTGACAGACAGACCATTTCAGCCCATTGCTCCTGTGTAAACGGGGCCCTGGGCCCTGCTTCTCTTTCTAGAACAGACGCTAATTGTATGTGGCAAAACGCAGGCTTCTCCCGCAATGTGTCATTTGCAGAATCGAACTGGTGCCCTGCACCCGCTCCAGCATCTTGCTCCCTACCAGATCTGGGCTAGAACTGGCTTTCAGCCTTCAATATTTTCATTATTTTTTTATGTTGTTGACCATTTAATTTCTGTTTTTAATACAATTTTATTGTTGATAGTATTATACAGTAGATATCTG